GAAAGACAAAGGAATTGTTTTAAGAAGATTCAAAGGAAAAGGAATTCGATTAATGTTTAAATTTTTTCATAAAGGAAACTGATGTGAAGGGAATTTCTAAGAGAAGCAGAAGAAATATTCTGAGAAAATATTCTACTCAGAGAAACTGTTCTGTAAGTTGTATAATAAATAGAAAAATCAGCTTCGGTCGCTCAATAAATACATTACAGCTAATGGATAAATCCCTTTAGAGAGTACCATTTCCTTTTTGTTTGTGTTTAAACTAAAACTTGGCTCAAACTTTTAGCAAACGTTCCAGTTTTCATAATTTTCAGATCCATTAAAAATCTATTATAATCATTACAAAGAATGCCCCGTCGCCAGAAAGGAAGCCACCCAATAGATTTGCCATTTACCTTGCCTGCCTGGGGGGCAATCTGTTTCTCCGTCTTCCTTTCATTGGCGTATCCCCATCCCCTGCCTTTCTTTTACCTTCTATTTCTCCTGCTCTTTACCTGTGGGGCTTCCATTCTGTGGCGCCGCCTCCTGCCACTATTATCCCCCAGTTTAATGTCAGGCCAAGGCAATTATTAATTCTAATAAACCATCCTTCGGAGGTACATAGATGCCTCCTGCCATTCCAACCCATGCCTTCCTGCCAGCCCCCCCCCCCCCCCCCCCCCCCCCCCCCCCCCCCCCCCCCCCCCCCCCCCCTTCCCCCTTGAAACCTCACGCTAATGATATAATTTTTCTTCAGTTAACTAATTGAATACATTTGCTAAAAGACGAAGAAGAAGGCGTTTCCAAACGGGGAGTGGCACGGGAACGGGCACGGAGTGGCTCTATCTGTTGGAAAAGAGCGTGGAGCATAGACTACCGATGGGATGGAGAGGGCTAACAGGGGAAAAACACATGGCAAGCGGGCGAACGCACACACAAAATGGCAACAAAGATTGTTAATAATGGGAAACAAGCGTAGCTACTGAAGTTTCCACTCTCCATGCCACTTGAGAGTATTCGACAGGAGAAGAAGATGCCCCAACCCACCATGACACCATGACACCATGCCACATCCATGCCATCCCTCCCCCTTTTGCTGGGCAAAGTCGTAGAAGAAGTTAATTTGCAGAGACGGGCACACGCAATGTAGAGGCAAGTCGGGGAGGCCAAGAAGAGCACTAGAAACGGGGCAGAGTGCTGCGCGCAGGTTGTTGGTGGGGCTTGCCGCACACCAGGAGGAGCTGAGGCAAAAACCTAAGACAGAGACGAGCACACAAAACGACATTCCCGTGGCAAATGAGTGAGAAAGGGAGGGAGGCAGGAAGAGCAAGAGGCAAGTGTAAGTCGGTGGCAGGAGCCAGAAGGTTGGGATGGATGGTGGGGATTTTGGGTGGAATGGAGAAGACTGAACGCATTACAAATTCCATTACTTTGAGCAGCGAACATGACCTGATTTTTATGTATATGTATCTGTGTGTTGTCTCTGTGTGCGTGAGTGTAGTGTATCTGCGTGTCCAAGTGTGGGTGTACGATTCTGCGGGAAAGAAATTAGGCAGCCAGCAATTGCTTGCTTACCATTGCTCTCTCACAGCAAGAACTTAAAATGCGACATGATCAATCATGCACTACGTTGTGAAAGGGGGAAGGCAGTGGCACTCTAGGTAAGGGAATTCTTTGTTGTTTAAGGAAGTACTTGAGCTTAGAAATTGTATGTTTTTCCTTCCTTCATCTAAAATTTGTGATTCCATTGTAGCTAACTTTCAGCTTTTCTCTCAGTGCTTTGTTGTGTGCGTGCGTGCATATTTGAGACACGTATTGGGCAGAGCTTCTCACTCCCTTTCCCCATCTCTCCTCTCTCTCATTGGTGCTCACGCCTTCACGCTGCTGTTGGTGCTCCCCTCGCCTACTTCCCCGCTTTTGGGCTTCCTTCTGCCTCTACCTCTCCCTCCGTGCAGCCATCATCTCCTTCGTTTCGGCCACTTGTCGAGTCACGTAGCAAAAAGTTTTAAGCATTGGCACTTGCGACGTGCAATGGCTGCCATGCCTCCTCCTCCAATGTTTCCAACCCTCTCTCCATCTTTTGGGCACTATCCATCGTACTCTTTCCTTTGGCACATCACTCTCTCCCTGTGTCTCCTCCCTCCCTTGGTGCTGCCCATCTTTGGGGCTATCGCCAGGCAATAAATTAACAAAAATGAATGGATCCATGGGGTTGGGGGCATTCACTCGAGTGGCTTCCACACAACTCAATCTGCCACATCGTGGCCCCCCTTTTCATGAGTCTTGTAAATAAGTAGAGTAGGCCTCTCAGTACGTAGAGCGAGGGGGTTGGGGTGTGCTGCAAAGTGCACTGGGTTATTGGCGCACTTTTATGACCAGCACAAAAATTGCTTGTCGCACGATTTCTGTCGCCTTTCTCATGCCTCATTTGGTGCTGCGCTCGACCTTTGCCACCCTTCCACCCACTCTTGCCTCTCTTTCACTCTCACTCCATATTTCCCTCTCCCTTTGTGTCTTTCTGTGGCCCTCTCTTATCGTTGTGCTCCATTTTTGCAGGACATTTTCACAATGAAAAGTGTCACAAGTTGGGCGGATGGGCGAGCGGATATCTGAGGGGCCCCTGAAGGCAGCTGCTGCTGCTTGGGTTCAAAGTGCACTTAATTCAATTAAAAAATATCGAGAGAGGGGCGGGCTGAAAGAGACATTGGTATAAGAGAGACGAAAGGGAAAGGGAAAGGGAAAGGGGAGGATGCGCTTGGACATGCAAACTGTTGTAAATGTTTGCCCAAAGGCAAATTGTCCAACCAATTATGATTGTCATGAAGGAAGAGGGACGGCAAGGGAAAGGGCAGAGAGAGGAGGGAGGCTACAGTGCATGAAATTGGCATGGGGTACAGTGGGGCATGGGGGAAGGTATAAGTGGTCTTGCGATTGAGGTAAATGTTAAAGGTTTTACGGTACCCGACACACTGACACAGTTTTCTTTCGTGTGCAGCTTAAGGAAAATGAAAGGAAAATTAAGAAATGCGAAGTAAAACAGGAAAGAAAAATTTTTCAAGAGAAGGTTAAACTGGGCTTAAGAAATATCTAACAAGATGTACTCGTATGACGAATCAAAATATACAATTTCTTTCCGTTTCTTGTCAAAAGTTTTCCACAAAAATATCTGAAAATATTGCAAGTAAAAAATGAATTGGTTTAATGATATTTGCAACAAGTGCCGCATGAGATTTACCTCGCCCAAGGACACTGAACTCAAGAGTGGGGCATATACATACAATGCCATTCATAGAAGAGATTCTGCTGCCACAAAAGAGGATTGCTGGTGGAAAGTGCCCATTTTTCTGCTGCTTTTTGGCTGCATCATCACCATTTTATTGGCATGCAGCTTCCTGTGTGAATATTTAGCGTGGAAAATGAAGAATTTCAAGGTGCCCGATTTAGTTTCCGATGTTTGCGATTTCGAAGGGGCCAAAGGGTGCGAGGAACAGCCCATGAGACCCGTGAGTGACGTGAAAGAGCCTGAGAAAGAGAAGAATAAAATCTGTCCTTGTTGTAAATGAGAAATTAAAGCTAAAACAAACCTCAAACTCTCTGCTTTACCGCTCCTTTTAGGTAGCTTTGGTAAATTGTGTCAGGGACAACCTTTATCTGTCCTGAAACTCCTTTTTATAACTAACAAAAACGACACTAAAACTTCGACTAGCTAAAGTCTGCAACTCCGCAAAGTATCTGCCACAGCAACTTGCATCTTCAGCATCTGCTTCTCTTGTTTCCTCTGTCTGTTAATTAATATTGAAAAAGGAACCCACAACAAAAAGTGAAGTCATGCAACACACGACTTGCCGCAGCAGCAGCAGCAGCACTTCTCTTGCCTCATCTAACCTTCAGCTCCATTTCAGGCCCACAGAGCAGACTCCAAAGAAAGAGTCCCGAAGAAGTTATTGGAGTCTGGTGCTTCCTTCGTGCATCAATTAGTGGTTTCATGTTTGCGGCTGACAGGCAAAAGTTGCACTCAACAGATTTACACGTACTGTATATCAGAGATAGCTTCCTCGCTGAGCTGCAAGCATGTTGCATGCTGCATGCTGCAAGCTGGCACTCAAGGATTATACATTTTATGCGCCCCGTCTGTCGTTCATCAACGTCTTGGCTCTGTGCTGTGTGTGCTCTGTCTTCATCTTTGGGTTTTCTTTTGCAGCTTTTTGTTTTTTTTTTTGTTGTTTGGTTTCCTTTTCTTTGGGTTCTTATACCACCTGGTGTTGCCACCACACAGACAGACACGAGTGAGTGTCAAATGAGTAATGCAAATTGCAATCCACAGCTCCAAAAGCATCTTCCGCTACTCCACCAAAAAGGAGTCTCAACTCTCTGGCAAAAGGTAACCTGTCAGACATTTGCATTTGTCCCTGCACTGCTCTGACTTTGGTTCTGTTTCGGTTTCAATTGCAGTTCTCTCCTCAGTTAGTTAGTCACTCACTTTGTAGGGGCAGACAGGAACAGGCAGGGTCTGGGGCTGGCAGCAGCGTTTTGCAGCTGTCATGCATATGGAAGTAGGTCGTAAATCTCTGCCACTTTTGGGGGCTTATGCCACGCCAAGCCAAACCAAGCCAAGCCAAGCAGTTGTTGCAACTGCCTCTGCATATTTGATGAGTGAATGGAGAGAGTGGAGAGGGAGCCATATCGTGTGATTAATAACTGAAAATTGCCATAATACTCCTCCTCCAGGCGCCTCGTATGATACACACGTGGAAATGGCATTGGGAAAACTGTGAAAATTATGTGCTGAGCTGTGTCATAACTAAGGGAATGATTTCTGATGTGCTTTCTGTTGGAAAATTGTGTAATGAATCGAGGCTTTTTGTCGCACTTTGAAACTCATTTTTGATGAGCTTTTTGGTGTGTTAGAAACTCGGTGACCGAACCACAAGAAATTCTTTAATCTTTACCATATATTCAACACAATTTGTTTAGATATTTCCCATTTTACATTACTCATTTTCGCTAATTTCTCTTTGCAGGTAAGTTCCGCTTTTGGTCAAAGTCAAGCCCGCCTTCAACGAGCAGCACACCACATCCCACTTCTGGTAAGCCTATTCATTCATCCCCATTGTCAAGGACAAACATAACAGAGTACATGCCAGAGAACATGAGAACCATAGAGCACCATATGACAGACAATCTCTGGCCATAACCAACAGACAGTCGTGTGGCAGTCAACAAACCCATTAATGTGGCCCCATTTATAACTCGCCTAAAATGTCCCTCATTGTAGCTATCTGTCTGTCTCTCTCTCTCTCTCTCTTACTGTCTGGCTCTCGCTCTCTCTGGCATTGAAAAAAACTTTCATTATGACATTTTATTGTCCTGGCCGCTGCCATTTGTGTCTGTGCCTCTTCTGTGCCTGCTGCTGCTGTTGCTATTGCTGCTTCCACAGAGAGTAGACAATGACAATGATGATGGCAAATGCTTGACGACCGCCAGACCGAAGCCATCATCGGGTGGCAGGCAGGCGGACGGCCTCTGTGTGGCATGCGACATCCTTGGCAATGTCAAATGTCTCTCCCCCCGTTACGTTGGGGGTAAGCAGCCGGCGGTGGCAGGACATCAAAAACAACTTGAAAATGGTGTTCCTGTTGTTTTTCCAGAGCGCCACCAAAAAACACCAACAACAGGCAACGTTTTTCCGGACGCCCACTCTATCTTGCTGTCTCTCTCTATCTTTCTCTCTGTCCCGCTGCTTTGTCGCTCTTTCTCTTCTGTTTTGTTTGGGTTTCGCTGTCCCTCTGGTTTCTGGTTTCTCTGTTCATTTTGATGGCCTGACAATGGCGTTGATAATTATTATTAGTTTTATTTTATATAACTTTGACAGTAGTTCGGGGAGTCGTCCATGTCTAATACGACCTTTGAGAGAGCTGTTGAGACAGACAGAAAGAGAGAGAGAGAGCGGCCAAGGGAGCTATGCTAATGGCACAGACAACACTCTACAATTTTCTGTGTATTTTGTTGTTGAAGAGTTTACATAATATAATTTGTTTGGTTTTTATGCAAAACTTTCATTTCTCTTTGTTGGAAATTGACAAATGATTTTTTTTTTTGGTTTTTGTTGATTTCGCTAATTAAAGGAACATTTTCAACCAAATGTAAAGTGCAAAAGTTTTGAGAGGCATAAAGAAAGAAAAGAAAAGACGAAGAATGAAAAATATAAGAGAGAATTTGTGGGAAATAAGAAGAGGGACAAAAAGTGTAGATAAAAGACTGAAAGGAGAAGGAAAACGAGGACAAATCGAGTCAGAAAACAATGAAGGAAGATTTATGGAGACAAATTTTGAGACAGAAAATGAAATAAGTAAGGAAAATGAAGAGATTTTGACTTAAAACAATTTTTAAAATTTATTTGGACAGAAATAAATCTAAATTTTGAGAATGGTAGAGAAATGTAAGCTAACAGAAGGCAAAGATGGATTTATTTCAGTATAAACATTGCATTTTAATGTTCCCCCTAATTCCCTTGAGACATTGCATGATAATTCATTAAGAATTCTTCTCAATTTCTGTGTTCCTGGGCTTTTCTCTTAAACTGATTTTATTGGTTTCAGTGCAATAGTTTTGTTCAATTGTAGAACTTCGCCTTTAGCGATTCTCCCCGCTCAGGTATTTCACCGCCCCGTGTTAATCGTTAACAATTCCAAAAGTTTGTCTTTAGTTGTTTTTCCGCCCATCCGCAAACAAAAGCAAATGCAATGATCCCACAAAACAAATCTTCGCGGAGAAGCTTTTCTTTTTCCTCTTTTCCTTTCCGACTTTCAACTTTGGCTTTTGAACGTAGGAACTTTGCTTGTTATTTGAGGCAAAATGTAATGGAAAATACAAGAAAAAATATACAAAGTTTTGCGCAAGAATATACAAAAACGAAGGGGGGAAACACTTTTCTTTCTCTGTCTCCATTTCGCTGTGAAACCTGCTCAAAGCTCTCTCTGGTGTACGTGTGTTTGCGTCTTAATTAAATAAAATGCAATTTAAAACCGTTGATTGTGCAAACGCCAAACCCCCACTCGAAGCCAAACCCCCTAACAACCTGAAAAACAACACCCATGGCAAATGGCAGCCATAAGGATGCAAGTTAAAGGCGGTGCAGGAGCAGGGCCAGGGCAGTGTAGGAAGTGGTTTTTCCCTTCTTGGCAGCAAACTCTTGAGATGGCAACGCTGCAACGCCGGTATGGTACCGCTCACACATGAGCTGATTATGTGGCATGCCACACCGCCTACTTTTTGCCTACTTGCTTCTTGCTGCTCCTACTTCCCATTGCCATTCCTGCGGCAAAAGCCCTACCTAACGCCCATTGAAAGACACTCCCCGCCTTGTAATCCACCGCTCACTCTATGCACATTACTCTCTGCTTACACCCATTATATCCCCGCTCTCTCACTCTGCCGCTCTCTCGCTAACCAGCGAATGTCTTAAGCAACTTGCGCGGTCGTTTAACTTTTGCGACGGCGATTAAATTTCCAAGTTCTTGGACTCAGACAGCCTCCTCCTCCGCCTCTCTGTCTCTCCTTCTTCTAGACTGCTCTTTCCTCTTCTCATTCTTATCATGTGTTTACTACACTGTGAAAAGAGAAAGAATAAGCAGTGTGGAAAGAGTGGAACAAGTGCTGTAAAGAAGGACAAGTGGATGGTGGAGGAGGAGGTGGAGAGTCGGGGAATCATGAGGAATGAATAAAAAGCCCAAAAGAATGAATCAAGAAGAATGGCACATAAGCGCATTAATTGAATTGTAATTGCAGCCAGAGCTCGCTTTTCGCGCTCCCACTCGTTCTCCCCCTCTCCCTATCCCTCTCTCTCTGTCTCTTGCTCTTGTCGTGAAGTGTTTGTCGCCGATTTGGAATTGAAATCAAGGCGGAATGAGAGTCGCCCGCAGCAGGCTGGCTGCTGCCTGCCACTCCAACTGGTTTACCCACATAGTGCACATAGAAGTAGCGAGAGACACACAGAGACAGACAAGACACAGCTGCAGCTGCGTACCGCCAGCATTGGTACCCCTTAAACCACCTTTTTGTTGCGCTGTACCCTGCCTGCCTGCCCCACTGTTAACCCCCTGCCTGGCAGTCTCTAAATTTATCCTCCAACTCCATGGAAATTGTGAGTTTTCCAAGCTGTGTGGCAGCCCAGCAGCAGCCAGCAGTTGGAGCGGAGCATGCCAAGCATTTGGCCAATGCAGTTGCTGATTTGTGATTTACAGGGTATGCACTTTAGTGGGGGTATGCTGTTCAGTGGGAAGGGAACTGCTTGAGGGATAGAAAAGTGTGAAGAAATGAAAGACATTTTTGGAAATTTAAGTTCAAGAATTTTAAATATTTTATAGAAAATACTTTTTGAGTGTTTTTTCTCTCCAGATTTAACGTGAAATTCCCTCAAAATCTTCAGAGCTCTCCCCGCCAAAATCTTACCCATTCCTTGTTCCGTTTATTTTACAGGGTATCTAAAAGGTTCTGCTCCCTCTAGCATTACGAATTGGTGGGCAATCGGTGGCATTCCACAGCACTTGTTTTCTGTTCTGCTGTTGTTCTCGCTCTTGTTTTGCGTCCTCTCTCTCTCTCTCTCCCTCTGTTCTCTTTGGTGCTTGTCGGTTGTTCTTTGGCTTGTTGTTTCTATGTGTGTATGTGGCATGCAACATTGGCTTGACGGTCGGGTGGATGTGCCCACGGGCAGTCCAGTCCAGGCGATTCCTCCCCCCCTCTGCCCTGCTGTTCTGTTCTGTAACTGGCTTAAAGGACGCTGAAGGTGAACAACAAATGCAATGGAAACTGGTTTTCCTCCCTCCCCCTCTTGTGGCAGCAGCAGCAGCAACATTGTTGCAGTTGCATTCACTGATTAGAACGTGGCAGGTTAAGCAATACCCCTGTGGCAAGGGTTCCCCTTCCTCCTGTCGCCCACTTCCGCCTCTTAGTTCTCCTCTGCTCTTCCGCCTGTGGGACAGATTACATAAATTCACGTCACTCATACGCCACGTGGGCACTGCTCTGCTCTGCTCTGCCCTCTGTCGGAACTCTGTTTGTGGTTTCTGTTGGCTGCTTTCTGCTGCTGCTCATTGGAGTGTGTGGCATCAGGCATAAAGTGTTGTGTGCCCTGCCAACTGCCCTGTGGCATGTGTCACGCTGCAATTGTTAATTTTTTGTTCGACTTTTTGAGTGCATTTTTCTATGTTTTAATTTAGCGAATTTTTTGCTAACTTTCAAACCTTCCAGCAAATGTTCCTCCAGGGTAACACCAGCTTCGACTACCACCCAAGCTTCACCCTTTTCTCCACGCTTTTCTTTTGGGTGCATCAATTTTCCTTCGCCTCCTCCTCGGCCTCCGGGTTCTCGGGGGTTCAATCAATTTATGACCTGCAGCGCGAACCGCTCGCTGGTGCCGCACATTTGGCACATTACTCACGTGGTTTTATTGGCCATGCCACGCCCTGCCCTGCACTGCCCCAACATTTAAGCCACTTAACCCTTTTGTGCGCCCGGGAGCGAGAGAGAGAGAGAGAGAGAGAGAGAGCGGGTGGGAAACTTTTTAATTTGCTGGCCTCCTCCTTGGGGATCTTCTCTTTACATTTTTTATTTTGCATTTTCCATCTTTGTCCTGCCTTCATTTGGTGCTTAATTTGTGGCTGCTTTTTCACTTACTTTTTGATTGGAAAATGGTAAAATGAAGCAACAATTTATTAGCCTTCTCTTGAGGATTGACTGACTGATTTCTGCTGCAGGAATTTATGTTCGAAATATAATCAAGTTGAAGACTTGCTGCTTTTGCTTAATTTTCAATGATTTTATAATACATTTCTGTACGAATTTTCATTCATAATGTTCCCCTGCTATCGTTGATGATGTCATCAATGTTTGTTTAGCCACAATGTTGCCCACAGCTTAATTAAATCGGGAATTCAACGAGCATTTGCCTTCCTGTGGTGCCTTGGATATCAATAATAATAATTTAATCCAAATCAAAACTTCTACGCGTCATTATGTATGTTTCTCACTCTCCACTTCTGTCCCTTGCTCCCCTCGATTTCTCTGTTATTTAAGCCATAATTTCTCA